CACACCCACACTGTGGGCGTGGGTATGAGTGTGGGTGTAGGTGTGGGTTGGGTGTGGGTGTGGGTGTGGGTGTGGGTATGGGTGGGTGTGAGTGTGGGTGGGTGTGGGTGTGGGTATGAGTGTGGGTGTAGGTGTGGGTGTGTGGCTGTGGTTGTTTAAAGAGACATTCAAACACCCACACCCACACTCTTTTCATCATTTTTCGAGACCTATTAGTCAGCATACATTTTTTTTGCGTCCCACTTATTTGTCACGCGATCTTCAGACGGATTAGCTACTGAAATCACTGCTTTGGGATCCGTTCCAGGAAAGTAGTATAAATGAGGTGAAGTCATTCCATTCATGAAAAGGAATTGGTTGACCTGCTTTTTTTATGAAAATATTGTCCAATATCGTTTTACGATGTCGACGCACTCAAAATGTTTGTTACAAGTATCGCATTTCTTAATATAAAACTCATTTCGTAGTTTCGTGCCTGATTTAAAACAAATTTTACCTAAGTTTAATTTTGCCTAAAAGTTCAATTTTGCCTGTGACGTATACAAAGAAACCAATAATTTTCAAAATACATTATTGTCCTACCAAGACGCATTACGAGTTATTACCGATCATCGTGCTTCGGATAGAACACTTCCCGAAATTTATAGGAAAATCGCTGATTTATATCGAAAAGAAAATAATCATGAAGATCCGATGATCCACGAAGAAAAAGCAAATCAGATCGAAGAACATAATGAAAAACAGTCGGTATTCTTAGATGATGAGACTGTAGCCAAAATTCGTGAACATCAATCAGATATTGATCCTTATCGTTCACTACTTGAAGATGCACATAAATTATATGTCAATGGAGTGTATTTATTAAGAAAATTGAAAATTTGGGTGGGTGTGGGTGTGGTCTGGATGGGTGTGAGCGTGGGCGTGGGCGTAGTTCTTTGTTTCATCCACACATACACCCACACCCACACCCACACTCACACCCTCCAAGCTGAACCATATTGTTCTTATTCAGTTCTAGAAATAATTGGTGAAATTGTTTAGCGTTCATATTTCCTGCTAATGCAAGTTCTTTTGATTTTATAGAAAACAATGCACATGCGATACTATCATTGAAATCAATTATATATAACACTTGATCATCGTTTGCATCAGATATTTTATATAATTCTGATTTTAATGAGTGAATTCATGCATGAGAATTTATTAAATAAAGAAATGAAATAATTGAGTTGATTCGAACGTCAAAAATTGCATATCATTATAGAATTGGATAAAGAAAATATCTACGTATAGTCTTGTAAGTGTCACAGAAATTCATCATCAACCTGGTGGTTTCATAGTGCCATTTTCAGATGACTAGCCAGTAGAACTAGTGCAAGTATACGATCCAGAGTATGGACTGTATGTGCCGATAGGACAAGGCAAACAATCCTGAGACGAATTACTACCTGCAAATGGTTGATATGTTCCTGCAGGACATGGCTTGCTGCTAGTTGCTCCAACTACGTCACAATAATAGCCAGCAGGGCAACTGGAGCATGTGTTACATCCATTGTTTTGATTGTATGTACCGATAGAACAAGGTAAACACGCCAGAGACGAGTTACTACCTGGAATTGCTTGATATTTTCCTGCAGGGCATCGTTTGAAACTGTTTGATCCAGCTACGTTACAATAAGAGCCACTAGGGCAACTGGAGCATGTTGATTGCCAGAAGTTTTTATTGTACGTGCCGACAGGACAAGAAACACAAGATTGACCAGAGGCATCACCTGGTGGTTGATAAGTTCCTGCAGGACATTGTGTGCCAGTTGCAGCAGGTGACAATGTGCAAAATAATGTAATGAAAAACCAAAAGAATAATGATAATGTATTCATCTTTGATTTTAAATCTAGAGCATAAAAGTAATGAAAAATGTAATCAAACTGACTCTGTCTCCAGATTTCAAAAGTAAAGCTGTAGTAAATAAAGTTACGAGCGTACTTTTTGAAGTGCTATATTATTTTTGAGCTTGTCTTCTGCCTAGATGTATGGGAGGATTAGACTAGAATTACCCTAAGTTAGTGTAGTTTTCTGAAGCTTCGGTTCATAATTTCGAATGTTGAATTGAGTTTTTGGACGAATTTCATAATAATCGAGCACAACTCATTTTCAGTTTTCAACTCTAAACTTTGCACATAGACATGACCAAACTAAATTCTTCATCGAAAGATTCCCAACAGAGACCGTCATAGGGCACTCTTTTTTGCCTGCCCTACCCTATTGCCCTGCAATGCATTATACTGTCTTGCTCGGAACGTTAAAACATAATTTTTTTTGCCATGATCTGTCTTGAGGACAGATTTTCTACCAATGAACTATTATTGATAGACTCAAGTAGAGAACATACGGGAACATGATGATTTAATCAGGCACTTGGCAGCATTACTCAACTCATGACAAAGTCATCTATTTGAGTTCATTTTTTTCGGTAATACAGGACCATAATATCTATTCAGAGAAAAAATTTCAACTCAAACACTTGTATCCTTGATGAGATATGGGTATCATAAGAAATCCCAAAAAATGCACTTTTTTTGACGGTAGTGCTCTCAGAAATATCTAAATATCTATAGAATAAAAAAAAAATTTTTTTCAAACGACTTGCGTAAAAATTTGTTAAATACTTATCCCTGTAGCACATGTACAAACTAACCAAATCAGTGATCATTAATCAAACAGGGCTCTCCATAATTTATGTAGAATGGACCTTAAGTAAGATTAAATTATGATAAATCAAATCGGAATGAATCATTTATTCTCAAAGGAAAGCAAAAGAAAATCCGAACATCAAAAATATATCAAAATAAAATGCACTCCATGGACAAAAATCAATAACAAATATTGGGTTGGCAAGAAAGTTTTTGCGTTTTTTTCGAAAATTTTATTTTTATTTTCTAACTTCAAGAATACAACTAGCTTTCAACAATGCATGCTCCATTACTATCTATGACTTGTCGCCAACGCTCTGGTAGAGAAAAGATCCCGCGTTCGTAGAAGTCCTGAGACTTTTGACCGAAGAAGTTGACGAGGCCCATTTTGAGGTCGTTCTCGTCGTCGAATTTTTTCTCGCTTAAATGGTTAGACAGAGAATGGTACAAGTGTTAGGCCGTAGGAGCCAAGTCGGGAGAATAAAATGGATTTGGAACCGTAATCCATCCGAGCTTCAATAATATTTCCCGCGTCGCCTTTGCAATATGAGGTCTGGTGTTGTCATGCAAAAAATAAATTCTATTCTGCTTCCCCTGGAGTTTTGCTGCAACTCGGTCCAATTGTTGACAATAGAGATCAGCAGTGATGGTACAGTCAGTTGGAAGAAGTTCCCAATGAATAATTCCATTTACTCCCCACCAAACGCTCAGCATGATCTTCTTTGGGTGAAGGTCATTTTTGGGCGTTGCTACACCTGTTTGTCTAGCTCCCAGCCACTGTCGCTTGCGCGTGTGGTTAACATACAGCAGCCACTTTTCATCGCCAGTATTAAGATTGCGGAGCCATTGGTAGTTGCGATGAGATGTCATTAATTCCATACAAGCGTCAACCCTGTGTTGGAGCTGATGCGGTGACAATTCATGTGGTATCCAAACTCCGTATTTCCACGTTTTGCCCAACTCGTCCAAATGTGTTTCCACTGTAGTATGAGAGCATCCAAGTCGCTCTGCTAAACATCGTGTAGCCAATCTAGGATCTTCTTTGATAAGCTGTTTTAAAACATCCATATCCACCTCAACTGGTCTTCCGGAACGAGGTAAATCGTCGAGCTCGAAGTTACCGTTCTTGAATCGATTGGACTAATGTTGCGCTGTACGGATGGAGAGTGCATCCTTGCCCATCGTGCTGCATATGTTACTTGTTGCTTCCGTTGCTTTGTGACCCAAGAGGAATTCATGAAGCAGAGGCATTCGGAGCTCTGTACGAGATATGTTCATATCTAATTCGAGATCAACGTCCATATCCATAGTTTTTTTTGTTGCTCGAAAGATATTCGTATCCCCTTTATATACTTTTAGTATGGAAACTTCTGGAACTTTCTCGACTATTTTAGGAAATTTTCGCAAACAACGCAAAAATTGTCTTGCCAACCCAATAAATAGGCAATAGCATATTTGTGCTCAACTCTGTCGGCATTTAAAATTATTTTACAAAGTCGTAGTCCTCAGAGTGCAAGAACATATTCACATTGACGAACAAGTAACGTACTCAATATAAAGATCTCGGGTGTATTATTGAATAAATTATGACAATAAGAGGGATGTCCTTCCAAGATGCATATTACTCGAACAAGGGCATATATTAATGTATTTTGTATAGTATCTTGCTTGTTTATTAACTCGAGAGTGTAACGAATTAGTTGTGCAGTGATGCTGTCTGAACGTTGTGCATCATACGATTGAAACCCAAGTATTAATTGTCGTCGATAGATACGTTTTTCTTCATTGTTCATGTACTCGATATCAACTAATACAAGGCGAATAATCTGATGAGCAGCCTCTTTAACTGTATTCGTTTTTTGAAGTTTGTTCAATAACGGCTGTAAACGGTCTTATGCAATTTCATTATAATCCT